CCCAGCGGGGGGGGTGGAGATGGTGGTGGCGGTACTGGTGATGGTGGCAGTGGCGGCGGCAAAGGTGGAGGAGTGGCCGGTGGTGGCGGGGAAGGCCGTGGTGGAGAGGGTGATGGTGGTATAGATGGTGGCGGCGACGGTGGCGGCAAGGGGGGCGGCGAAGGCGAGGGCGGCGGCGAGGGAGGTGGCGGAGATGGAACGGGAAGCGAGAGTCGGCGGCGAGGCGGGTCCGACCTGTGCGCATCAAACGCAGGAGGCTGTGCGGTCGGTAGTGGTAGTTTGGGCGGCGGCGGCGGCGAGGGCGGCGGCGGGCTCGGCGGAGATGGCCAGGGCGGCGGACTCGGCGGAGGCGGCCAGGGCGGCGGACGCGGCGGTGATCGTGGCGGTGGCGGTCCCGGCTGTGGTGACGGTGCCGGTGACGAGGGTGGAAACGAGGGAGGGAAGCCTGAAGGAGGAGGTGGCGAGGGTGGCGGCGGCGAGGGCGGCGGTGAAGGCGGCGGGGCGGGTGGTGGTGAAGATGGAACGACAAGCGACAGTCGGCGGCGAGGCGGACGCGCATCAGGCACAGGCGGTGCGGTCGGCGGTAGTAGGTCGGGCGGTAGCATTGGCGGTGGAAGCGGTGGCGTCGGCGGGGGAGGGGTGGGCGGCGGGTGATGGGTGGATGAATTGGCCGGGTGGCCAGGTGTGGGACGCGGCGGTGAGCGGCAGCGGATCGTCACGGTGGTGTACGAGGTCACAGGGGACCAGTGTGCTCCGCCGTCGATGGAGATGGACACTGAGACATTGACTGGGTCGGAGACGGCCAGGGCCTCAGAATTACACTGAAGTGTAGTCGAGTTAATGAAGATGGGCTTCACGACCATAGAGCCGAGTCTGCAGCGGAGCGCAAGGCCTGGAGCGAAGCCACTCCCAAACGCATTCACAGACAATGCAGACATGCTGCTATTGCTGGCGCAGGCCTCCCCAGCCAGGCGCACGCGTGTGACCTGCACGCAGAGTGCACTGGTCGTGTTGGAAACAGCGATGGCCATGGCAGCCACCGTGGTGTACTCGGAAGCAAACAGCGAGTCGGACACAATGGCTTTTGTGGTCGACGCGTCGACAGCGCTACCGAGGGCAATAGCGTGTATGATACCACCGGCATTCTTGATACTGCTGGCTGTCGCTATCGCCGATTGGCTCGTCCCACCCGCAGTCTGGATGCCATCGGTCACCAGTAGCAGCACTGGCAGGGCGTCGCTCTGTGACACCAGGCCCCAACCAACCTCGAGCCCGCAGGAGATGCAGGAGCCCTCTCTATTGCTGCTGGCACGTGTAGCAATGGCCGCCCTGAGCTCGTTGGCATCCGCGCTCAGCCCGCTCACGATTTTGGTTGTCTCCTCGACGGAGCAATTGGCACATCCGCTGTAGTCCACCACAGCTATCCGTGCTGGCATCGTGTCGGAGAGGGTAAACTGATCGACAACGGATGCTGCCCAAGAAGAGATGGCGTGCTGCCTCGAGCGGAAGGTGACTGAGCTGTCAAGTACCAGCACGAGCTCGATTGCTGCGGAACAGGACGCTGGCAGCCTCCATGGCAGCCGAGCAGCGGCGTGGCTGGACACGGCTGCGGCGTAGGTTGCTGTTTCGACAGACGTGGGGGCGGCGCTGGCACTGGCGGTGCCGGTGGCCTCAGCTGGGCTGCCGCTCCAGAGCGCGATCCATATCGCGGACGTGACGAAGCAGGAGACTCGGACGCACCGCTGCGACTGCTCCATTCCACCCGGCCTGCCGATGTAGCAGGCAAGGCAGCAGCGACGCGCGCCGGGCAGGTTCCTCCTGTCAGGGTCTAACCTTGGCAAAATCAGCGCGAAATGTCGGTGACGTGCAACCAACGGACGCACGACCATCATCGGACGCACGTCACGATACAGTCTGTTGCGGGCATTGAGAAAACAGGATCTCGGCACGCCGCCGTTTCTAAGCCTTTCCACACACCTCACCCACCCCGCGGCGCTGCTCGCCAAGCTGGAGCGCAAGGAGGCGATGGAGCACGTGCTGCGCCCCCCTCCGCGCCCCAACCCGCTGCAGAAGCGCAAGCGGAGCCGGCACAGATAGAGTCGGGGCGCGGGAGCTCGGGCCAAGAGTGGCGCAACTAGCCACTCGAGTCGCAGACACCACATTTACATTTGAGACAGGTGTTGGGGCAGGGGAGGGCCGACAGTGCCAGGTGCCGCCAGGCCCCCCTGGTGCCTGGATGCCTGTGTATGTCTGAGTACGGGAGGTGCATCGCGGGATAGGAAGTAGCAGTCCTCGAGTAGGGTTGGGTATGCATGGGCCATGGCACGACTCTTGAGTCTTGTGCGAGAGACCGAGCGGGGTTGCGGCGTTGGTTGCGCGGGGACGATCCTCGTAGGGCTATACAAAGACCCACGCGCACTTTCTCTTTTATGTCTAAAGTTAATTTTCTAAAAGAAAAGAGAAAGAAAACGGACAACCCAAGGGACTCAAAAAGACAACCCAAGGGAGGCGCCTCCCGTTCGGCGTCACAAATCCGAACGCAGAGCACCGGGACGCGGTCGGGCGATCTGAGGCCCAGGTAGGCGAATGCATTGCCCATCCAGGGCTATCACCTGGACCTATCAACAGGTGCCTGCGGCGCCGTGCTCAGGAGTTGTTTCTCACTCACTCGAAATGTGGCTCGGGTTAAATTCTTTTTTCTCGCGCCTAGCTACCAGGCGCCTGCCGCGATGGCAACCCAAACCATCACCAAGTCCGTCACCGCGACGGACACAGAGGTTGCTGGCCTCTGGACTGCGTATTTGCTCGTCGTTGCGATGCTCGTCGTTCCAAACTTCATCCTGATACACCCGTACCTCCACCTGCTCATCCTCGGCCCGCTGCTCGTCTGGATTGGCTGCCAGCGGGCACTGCTTGAGGCGCAAAAGGCGCCGGGCGAGTCGAACGTGGAGGTGGTGTCCAAGAAGGACGCCATGCAGTTCCCGCTGATCGGCTCGTGTGCCCTCTTCTCCCTCTACCTCGTCGTCAAGTTCATCAAAAAGGCGCTGTTGCCCGCCCGGCCGCCGCCGCCCGCACCCGTCTTCCCTCCCGCCGCAGAGAGGGAGATCGAGGCACCGCATGGCCTGTCCGAGCCCCGCCCGCGTCGGCTCCGCGCAGGAGTACATCGACCTCCTCATCTCGGTCTACTTTGCCGGCCTCGGCACACTTGGTGTCTTTGGTGAGACAGCCTCTCCCTCCTAGCCTGCCTCCCGAACCTCACGCGCCTCCCTCCGCCTCCCTCCCCCCCCCCCCCCCCCTCAGCCCCTGCCCGCCTGCCTGCCACCCTCCCTCCCTGGCTCTGCCTTTCCCTATGGGCACCGACGACACACAGCTGGTGCTGACTCACATCTTCCGTCCCTGCCTCGCCCCACCCCACGCGCGCCCGCGCTGCGCAGCCCTCGCGCCGCCTCTTATGCCGCCTCGCGCTGCCCCTCGCCACCCACCTCCGCCCTCGCCTCTGCCGCGCCGCCTCTCCCCCCGGCAACAATCCCCCCTGGGTCGACAGGCGCCGCTGGACCACATGTAAGGCGCCTGTTGGACCCTCGCGGAACGCTGGGGCAGCAAAAGGCGCGGGTCCTCGAGCCTCCATGGCGCCTCCCTGGAGCCTCCGTGGC